TTTAGCAAACACTTTCTCTCTCTTCATTTTGTTTAAGGTATTCAGGCCCAAGCTCTTGGAATTTCATCTTTTTTACTCGTTCAACAAATATTAAACACTTTTTTGTTTTGGATAGGCACAGTGTGATGCTAGTTCCTGGGGCTTTGGTAACAAAACAGACTTGGTCTCTGCCCTCATGGCCCTCCATATTCAAAGAGCTGATCAAAGTAACTTGCTAAATAAAACAATTCTGTCTTTGACGGAATCGCCAGCTTTTATAGCAGCCATTTTGCTACATGCTGCAATAGCAGAGAACAATAAAACAAATAACAATATAAGGCACAAATACAAAAGATGCCACACAGCAGGATGTGATTGGTGCAGGAGTAGGACAGAAAGTATAAATACTTGGAGGTTTGAAGCTAATGGTTTTGAACCAAGGTCCACTTGGATTAAACAAGTGGACCTTGAGACACTGGATTGGAGGAAGCAAAGGGAAGGCAGGCAGGGAGGGCTGAGACAGTATGAGAATAGACGTAGTGGTTAAGAACAAGGCCTTGGAGTCAGACAGACCCTGGGCTCAAATCTCAGCTCTGTCACTTACTGTGTGACTCTAGAAAAACTGCTTAATCTCTCTAAGCTTATCTTGCTCCTTTAGAAAAGTGGGATAATAATAATATCCTCCTCAAAGATACTGTTGTATGGATTAAATGGGTGAGGTAGGGGGTGGGAGGAGAGGATAAAACATGTAAACTTAAGCAATACCAAGAGTGTGATCAGTGCCGAGCGAATGTTCATGTGAAACAGAGCAAACGCTCTCTATGTAAGGTCCTTACACTTTAACCACTTGTGAAAAAATATTTTTGGAGCACCTTATCATTTACACAATGCAGTTTCTTTTCCACACATACATTATTAATTTTTCTAGCAACTTTTAAAGGTAGATATGACTTTGTTGTGCAGGAGTGGAAATGAAGAGTAGAGAGATTGAAAACTTTCACATGGCTTGAAAGGGACTCAGGCCAGGACTTTGACTAAATCATGTAGTTCCTAATCTTTTATTACTGTCTTAAAAGGCAATTACTTAGCTGGGTGTGGTGGTGCACACCTGTAGTCCCAGCTACTCAGGAGGCTGAGGCAAGAGGATCGCTTGAGGCCAGGAGTTTGAGGTTGTAGTGAGCTATGATGATGCCATTGTACTCCAGCCTGGACGACAAAGCGAGACCTTGTCTCAAAAAAAAAAAAAAGTCAATTACTCCCACAGAGGTGACAACTCTTTAAATGCTGAACGACCAATAGCTTAACCAAGGACTTTCATCAGGAATACATCTGGGCATCTAAAGGAATGTCAGAAGTGGGAGTGAAACACAAACTTTGTCCACCTTAATTAGGCCCTAGAAAAAACTGGCCAAACATAAGTCAATCTAAATATCCATCAATAGGGAAATGGATAACTTATGGTACATCCTTACATGGAATAATACCATGAAGTCAATAAAATGAATGAGGTGGATCTAGTAAGTACTGGCGTGGAAAGATGAGATGCCCATGCACATTAAGCAAAACGGCAGGCTGTCGAACAAGACGCACGACAGAGGCTTTATGGTGCCCTGCTTAAGACCACAGACTACATACCCACTCAGTGACTCGGCCCACCCTCCCCTTTCCTCAGTCCGTGGTCTCCTTTCCACACTACTACCCCCACACCCTAGCACAGCCCCTTTCCACAACTTCTATTTCTCCTGATTCTCCCTTTTTCTCTCAGGACGTTTTCCCACTCTCTTTTTCAGCCTCCTCTCCTTTCTCCACCTTCCCAAATCCCCACCCGTGCCCGGGAAGACGAGCATGCGGAAGGCATGCGCATGCGCCGTGGCATCTCCCCGTCGCAGAGAGAACACGTATGCCCCGCCCCCCAGGGCAGAACCTGAGAGCGATTGGTCCCCGTTTCTGCATCCCATGATTGGCGGGCCCCTCGCACCCAACCGAGAGGGCCCACTTCCGCTCAGATCCTGTCTGTCCTCCTGTGGGAGCGCCTCTTGGCCCCAGGAGTACGCGTTGCATTTGCTGAGGTCGCACAGTCTCTGCTTTTCCTGTTTCTTCCCGCTTTTGAGACTGTTCTGCAGACGCTAGTGTGAGATTGTCATGCTTCCCGCATTTGCAGCCAGGCCCTCTCAGGGGGAGAGCTTAGACCAGATTTACTTAAAAGTGGGAAACTGAGAATTAGAACTGAATTAGCCAGCCCTCGCACCAGCGGGGAGATAAGGAGCTCCCTCATTCCCACATGCTTCCCAGTGTGAGCTAAATTTCATACATAGCTCTACAAATTGATAGCCTTGAACTCAGCTCCCTAAATTGTGATAATAGTAGCTAACCTTACGTTCGGGTTACAGTGAGCAGTCACTGTTTCCATCCCTGCAATGGTATGAATGTTTGTTCCCTCTGAAACTGATGCAGAAATTTAATCTCCAATGTGGCAATATTGAGAGGTGGAGCCTTTAAGAGGTGATTGGGTCATGAGGGCTCTGCCCTCATAAATGGATTAATGGGTTATCACTGGAGATGGGAGTAAGGCTGATGGTTTTATAAGAAGACGAAGAGAGACTTGAGCTAGCACACTCAGCCCCCTCGCCATGTGATGATTCCCTGTGCCACCTCAGGACTCTGCAGAGAGTCCCCACCAGCAAGAAGGGTCTCACCAGATGTGGCCCCTTGAACTTGTCCTTAGCCTTCATAACTGTAAGAAATAATTTCCTGTTCTTTGTAAGTTACCCAGTTTCAGGTATTCTGTTAAAAACAACAGAAAACAGATTAAGACAATCTCTTTACAACAATTTCACAATCTTTACCTATAAGGTAGGTCTCACTATCCCCATTTTACAGATTGGGATGCCAAGGCACAGAGAAGTTAAGGAATTTGCTCCAAGTGATGATCCTCCTAGTGATAATTGGCACAGCTCAAATCAGAACTCAAATAATCTCACCTGGGGTCCAATACCATCAACCCTTGCATCCTGCTGCCTCTGAGAAAGAAACCAGGCACAGGATAAAATTAGTCCACAGTTCAAGAAGCAATTTATTGAAGCTTCCTTTTTCTTTTATGTCAAGTTTGGAAAATATGGGAGAGAGAATAGGAATAGACACTTGAGAAGAAAAC